TGCACACTCACTGCATGGGTTTGTGCTGGGCCGGACACTTTGGATCTGAGAACCCCATAGTGAGGGTTTGGCGAAGGGCAGATGCATTTCTGGTAAAGAAATGAATGAATCCAGAGTTATAATGACCTCTAGGCTGCGGATTTGTCGTAGTATTGTCGAACCATGACTGTCAGTCGTTATTTGTTGTGTGTGCAGCTGATCGAATCGTCCACCTTACACTCAGACTTGAGGTGGCAGGTTTAAGATTACTGGGAAAGGACTGGGCGCTCTTTCAAGACTGGTTTGCCAGCATTGACCCAAAGTTTCCATTAGGACCTGGCCATGTAGCCTTCCTCTGTCTGTTTTAAGGCACACAAGCTGGGCCGGAGCCAGTAGGCGGAGGTAAGATGGACAACCAGCCATTGCCCGCATCTGCCCCAACTAAGACTTTATTCCAACCCCTCACCAAAAAAACCCCCTCTCTTTTCAAATGGGCAGCCATTTCTTCTTCTTTGTCACTCTGAGGCTGCTTTTACCAATATTTTCTCACCAAAAGTGGAAAAGGATGACTATCACAAAATCTGTCAAGAACACGTCCGGGTCATATTTAATCTCAAAATCATAAGAGAGAAATGAGAAATTATTGATGTCTAATATTTGGTCCAATAGCACGAAAAAACTATTAAATTATTCTGAACACTGAATAAAAATTAATTTTGTAGGTAAATGTGCTAAATGCTGTCATGAAAGTAAGAAATAAATAATTATTAGCGATTTTATTAATTTGTTTGAAAAAATTTATTTTGGAGTTAAATGTGCTAAATTGTCATGGCAATTCATAAAATACAACAATTCACAATAAAACAGAATTTTGGGAATAAAATTCTAAATTGTCATAAAAGTAAGAATTAATAATCATTAACAATTTTATTATGAACTGAATTAAAATAATTAATTTTAAAAAGAACTGTGGACAGAAATGTGCTCACCTGTCATGACATAATAAAAATTGAATACATAACTGAATACAAAAAAAATCTGGTTGTAAAAATACTAAATTGTCATGAAAATAAGAATGAATAATTAGTAACAATTTTATAATTAATTTAATGAAAATAATTCATATTAAAAATAATTTTTGAGGTAAATGTGCTAAATTGTCCAGACATAAACATTTAATAGATAATTCATAATAAACTATATTTTGGGAGTAAAAATGCTTAATTGTTATGGAAATGGGAATTAATCATTATTAACAATGACCAAATTAATGCAACTATAAAACCTTAATCAAAATATTTTCTTATTTTTTGATTTGTGGGATGCATTGTGACCTGGAAATGTATTTACTAAGATTCGCCCTCAAAAACTCACAACACACTTTTTTCTATTTATTAGTGTAGATTTTTCAGCTCGGTTGGAACATTTTGGCAGTTTTGTTCATCAACAAATGTGAATACGAATATAGCGCGGTCTCAAAGCCAGTATGAAGAAATACCGCCTCCGTCAACACAAGACCAAAGCCTGCAGAGAACAAAAAAGAGAGAGAAAAAAAACAACAACCTTAACTATCAGTATTAATAATTTGTAATGCCACAGTCATGTGAGTCTTGCCTTATTTCATTTCCATGCTAGCTAACCGTGCTGATGTGAATTACGATATGTAAAATAAAAAGTACATATATATAACGTATTAATGTTATACAATTGAAAAGAAATGAGGTGTTTGCATTTATGTGGGAGATAACTGTGATGCGTTCAATTGCAAAGCAATGATTTCATATAAAAACGAAACAAAATGTTCAGAAAAGATTATATTCCTCGTTTGCTTTCTTAGGTGTGTACAGTTTTCATCTTTCTTAACCAGTACTTAATTATGTCGTGAGACACTAAATCAGAGAGGAATCTCACTTAATACGAGTTTCGAAATGTTTTTTTTTTTAATTGTGCTGGCTTATTTCTGTGGACATCTGTTTTTACGTTCTACGTTTGAATTGTACGTCACTGGTTAAGCTTAATTTATTGTTTTGGTTTCATCCATGTGTTCCTGCACAGTGGGGTGGGGTCATGACTAAATGTATTTGTTTACTGTAGCACGTTTTTAAAAATGTAGATACGAGATGCAGTTACAGAGCTAAATGGTGATTGAGTGATTCACATTAAATAACCATCAGTCCTGCCACTGTAAAATATCAAGAGCTGTACTGAAGTGATCCGGTGTGACTGACTGGTGCATCTTTTCTATCGTGAGATTTCACTGAATGTTTTCATGATAGCGTCTGTGTTCTATACCAAAGGCAGCGTCTGTCCTTCACTTGTACTTACCTGTTTGCTTCACAATGAACGGATGAGAGCTTTGATAATTGGGGACTGCCGTTGATTTTCCTGAACACTTCATTTGACTGTATTTTATACAATTAGTGTTCACGTCAACACGAAATCAAAATTGATCCAATTTGCTTCCATATCTATCAGCTGGTGTCACCTAGAGCAGAAAATAGCCAATATTATTCAATTACAAAGAAAAGAAAAACAAAGCAAACAAAACAAAAGCAGAGGAAATGAAAGCAAAACAAAACAAAAGCAGAGGAAAGGAAAACAAAAAGCAAAGCAATACAAAACAAAATAAAAGGGTAGCGAAACAAAACAAAAGCAGAGGCACAGAAAGAAAAACGAAACAAAAAAAAAACAAAGCAAACAAAACAAAAGCAGAGGCACAGAAACAAAAATGAAACAAAAACAAATCAAAGCAAACAAAACAAAAGCAGAGGCACAGAAACAAAAACGAAACAAAAACAAATCAAAGCAAACCAAACAAAAAAGCAGAGGCACAGAAAGAAAAACGAAACAAAAACAAAGCAAACAAAACAAAACAAAAGCAGAGGCACAGAAAGGAAAATGAAACAAAAGCAAAGAGAAGCAAAACTAAATGAAAGAAGAAAAAGTGAAAGCAAAACAAAAAAACAAAACAAGCTAATGGAAGGAAAAATAAATAAAACAGAGGAAAGGAAAACAGAAAACAAAAAGCCAAACAGAACAAAAGCAGAGAAAGGGAAAGCAGAACAAAGAAAAACAAAACAAAAGCAAGGGGAAGGAATACAAAACCAAGCCAAACAAAAGCAGTAAATTAATCAAAATTAATATTAATATTATAAACTGTACTGTAATAAATTGCAAATGATGATAAGTTTTTTTAAAGAAACCTTAACATTAGCAGACATTAAGATGCTCTTCTGACGACAAACTTGGCTCTCAACCTTCATTTTCCTTTGAAAAATCTCCTCAAAAGTATGTGCTTGTGTTTCAGAAGAGGAGTAATTTCCCAAAATCCACTGCAAACTCACATTCAGCTCTATTTTGACATGTAACGGCCACTATTCATTACCAAAAAGTATTGCCACAATTTTTGTCTGATGAAATTACCTGCTTTATGTGGAAATATGTCAAAATACGGAAGTAAATTGGGTCGCAAATGTCATTTCGTGTTGACTGTAAAAGGTCAAAAAGTATCGTCCACGCAGTAAAAAATGTTAAGGTGCCTGTTGTATCACACCTGAAATTAAATGTGTTGATTTAAAAAGCAGTGAAAATAGCCACCATGGTGACTTCTCCCAATCATCAGATGATTTTTTTTAACAAACATGATGTTACACTTAAAGCAGTGTAATACTTTCTACAACATTTTTGTCAGTGTAAGTCATTTACATTGATAAGGCCAATGTAGAAAGTATTTTGTACGAGCACAACTGCTTTAATCAACATTTGCTGCATGGCATCTACGGCCCCATTTGTACATAAGACCACTTCTTTATCGATTCTAGGGAAATTGGTTTGTATTTGCTTCGTTTTGTGACTCTACTGTGTTGTGTGTTGATCAGACCGACAATCTTAAGAAATCCAGTGCCCCTCGTTCCCATTTTGTTCCCCACCACCGGAAGTCCTGCAGCTGCTTTGGATGTGTGCTTACCCTCCTGAATGTTTGGATTGGGATTCTCTTGTTTATGCGCTGGAAGCCGCAGTCAGACCCGCATCTCTGATGTCACCTCTCTTGCCATAAAGAGTTTCCATACAAGCTCTTGGAATCTTTCCATCATATTTTAATAAATGACTATTATGCCAAAAGTTGTTGTTTTATTTCTATTTCTGGCATCGATGATCATTGAACAAGTTTCACCCTACTAATCATACAAACATGAACACTTGATACAAATTCAAGAATAGGAAAATGGCTTCAGATTTCAAGAACACGTGCCTGATCCTGTTACACTCGCAAATATAGTGTGAAGACAAACTAAAAAGTATTAAACTGCCTATTATTTACAGCAAAGATTAACTATAGCTTATTCAAGATTAAACCTGTACAAAATAGAGTAAATCTTCAATAAGACATTCAAAGTAGTAAGACTGTTTGTCACAAATGAACATTATTATAGTTTACGCCAAGATAAATTACAAAATATGTAGAAACATTAAAGGGATAGTTCACCTAAAAATGACAATTCTGTCATCATTTACTCACCTTCAAGTTGAAACCAAAAATATATTTTGAAGAGTGTTGTAATCAAACAAGCATTTTTGTCCACACTATGGAAGTCAATGGCTACCGTCAACTGTTTGGTTACCAACATTCTTCAAATGATCTTATTTTGTGTTCAACAGAAGAAAGAAACTCAAACAGGCTAATGGAAGCAAAACAAAAGCAGAGGAAAGGAAAACAAAAAGCAAAGCAAAAGCAAATTGAAGCAAAACAAAATAACATGCAAAATAAAAAGCAAATTGGAGCAAAACAAAAAGTAGAACAAATCAAAACAATACAAAACAAAATAAAAAAAAGAAGCAAAACAAAACGAAAGCAGAGGAACAGAAAGGAAAACAAAACAAAAACAAACCAAAGCAAAAAAAAAGAAAAAAAAAAGCAAAGCAAAGAGAAGCAGAACTAAATAAAAGCAGAAAAAAGTTGAGGGTGAATAAATGCTGACAGAATTGTAATTTTTGGGTGAACTATCCCTTTAAGGATATCATTTACACACTATCTGCACTTTACCAAAACACAAGACGTGAAGAATTGTTTCAATGAAGACACATGTCGCTGTTCTGCTGAGGAGGTGAATATTGGGATGTCAGTTCGGCCTCCATGGGTACGTTCAGACTGCATTCGTTTGGAAGTCTGTCTTTAGGTTTTCTCAAGTTCTCCTGAAAGATTGAGAAATAAGAAACAATAAGAATTAATACAGAGAAAATAACACATTCTAGCATACTTTTCACACCCAAAAATTGCAATTTAGCATACTTTTATGTTATACTTTTCACAAAAATAGTATTCTAAATGCAAAGAAAATTATGTTTTGGACACTTAAGTGCATGTTAATTGCAATTTATTGAGTTTCAATTCATATTAAATGCAGCTGTTTGAACTTAAAAGTGCTCTTTTGCATATCAGAACAGATCTTTGACCTGTAAACAATTCCTAAATGTGGCCAAGCGTATACTAACATTTCATAGAATATCAACATTATGATTTCCACAGTGATATATAGATATTTGTAAACCAAAACTTCATTATTCTCAATCACACAAGCACAAAACCGTATTTTCAAATGATAGCAAAATTGATTGAGCTGCACACCAAATTCTTCACAGGCACAGATCTGAGCTGTTTTAAATCTAAAATAGAAAGCATATACTCTGGCAAGAGCACTAAACCAACACAACCGCACGATTTACTGAAGCCCTTCATTTTGAGAGCCGTCCTGCTGAGCGACTGTGAGAACAGACTGCAGCAGTGACAGATTCATTCAGACCGCTCGAATCCATCAATACGGTAGTCAGTCAAAAACAACAAGAGATTACAATTGGATTATTTCACCACAACCATGAGGAAATATAACCTAGAAGTAAAATGCAAATGGAATGAATTCACAGTTACTTAAAGGGACCTTAAAGGGGTGATTGATTGCGATTTCACTTTTTTAACGTTAGTTAGTGTGTAATGTTGCTGTTTGAGCATAAACAATATCTGCAAAGTTACGAAGCTGAAAGTTCAATGCAAACGGAGATATTGTCTTCTAAAATTCTGGCGGTTTAATGCCTACAAAAACGGCTGGTAGGGACTACAACGAGTTATTTACTGGGTTCATGACATCACAAACCCAGATAAACCCCAACAGCGCGATCCTCTTCAATAATATCCTTTGCTTCTCAATCGGGCTCAAGCTGATAAGTGATATTAACGACGCGGTTGTTTACAATACAACCGGAGCACATGCTGCTGAGAGGGGCGGGACCATTAGACGCACACTAGAGGTGGTTTAGCCAATCACAACACACTGGGCTGGCTAACCAATCAGAGCCCATCGCCTATTTCTGAGGGAGGGGCTTCATAAAAGCAGGAAATTGAATGCCTACAAAAACGGCTGGTAGGGACTACAACGAGTTATTTACTGGGTTCATGACATCACAAACCCAGATAAACCCCAACACGCAACGAAGGGGGCGGGGCCATGCTGCGCTGCTTTAGAGAAGAAGAGAAAACTAGAGGTGCACGTAAAAATCTATTCATATATAGTCTTCTAACGATTCTAATGGATTCACAAGTTTCAAAATCAATGTTCTAAAGCAGCGGTTCTTAATACCCATAAACCATAAACACAATCAAGCCTAGAAAAAAAACGCTGAACCACCCCTTTAAAGAGAACTTAGAACAGAAATACAACTTTAAAAGAATATTCAGAATGTGAACTGAATGTAGAGTTTTTGAACATTTAATTGCATGCAGATGTATTATAGTCATTTCTAAAAATCTAAAATGTTGTCATTTCTAAAAATTATTTCTTAAAAATCGAACTTATGTTGTGTATTTAAATATATTTACAATTACACATTTGTAACAATGAAGCTGCAGTTTAGCACATTTAATATATATATATATATATATATATATATATATATATAGAACACACTTTGTGTTCTATATATATGTAAGACTAAAAGAGATTAGGCTTTTAATTAAGTAATTTTGGATTGAAGTACATGTTTATTTGTGATGAGACAAGACCAAATATTGCAATGTTGATAGACACATCAACTAAATGTCCCCATGCCCTCTTTCTCTTTCAGTTTATTTGAATAATGTCATGAGATTTTTTTCCTGGGAACCTCAACTGACTTATCCATTTAGCCTGCCACTGCATTAAAACAACACATGAAGATGGAAATATAGCTAACAAAAAGAAAAGGCTGAAATCTGTTTTAATAAAACAGTGTACAAAATTTTAAGTACATGTGCTTTAGTATGTTAGTCAACACATCAAAATAAGAGCATTTTGTTAAAATATGATAAAAGATTAAATTAGAAATTAGATTTAAGATTAGAAATTTAAATTAGATTTAAAATGTACTTTAAAGTAAATCTTAATTTGACATTATTACAAAATGCAATTTTTAACAGTGTACTGAAGTGTGTTATGAAAAATATTCGGTGTTTTATTATTGTTATATTATTTGTGTGTTGTGTGTGATTTTTTTTTTTCCTTTTTGGGTGTATTATCCTTTTAGGGTTAACGTATTAAAAACGTTTTCGTTAATTGAAATAATGCTAAATAAAACAAAATATAAATATTAGATGAAAAAGTTAAGCTAAACAATAATTTGTTAAGTAAGTTTGCCTTGGCAACATTAAAACACTAAAATTATAAAGAAATTACTAAAAATGCTAAATAAAATAAATTAACCCTAATCTGTAAAATAAGCACATAACAAAATAACAAAAAATTTAAATAATTAAAATAAAAAATTAAAAATGAAAACAAAAGTAAAAGCTAATTCAAAATATGAATTCAAACTTATATATATATATATATATATATATACTAAATATATAAATAATACTAAAATGATGCTGATAAAGTATGTGAATGACAGTAAATAACAACTTAAGTTTCGGTCTATTTCCAATCATATGATTTCATACAGATTTAAAATATTGTGCATGAGACATATGAACCACTGTCATAGTGCTTTATTATATACACACACACACTTTTATGATTTTTTAAAGAATTCTAAATTTTTGGGTGTATTATCCATTTAAGTGTGTCACCTACAAACAATAATTATATTATTCATTAACGTATCATTAATTATGCATCCCAGCTAACAACTCCATGTACATATTATTCAATAAAATCAGCCCTGCGTCTTCTACACAAACAGTAACCGTCTATAAATAATCAGCGCACATCAATAGACATCAGGCCACGGTTATTTGTAGTGAGAAACTTTTAGCTCAGCTTAAAATACTGCTCGGACGCCTTGACCCAAACTTCCCAACTTCTGAAATGGACGAATTAATAGATGCATATTAAATAGGAGCAGTTGGATTGTTATGCTAAACCTCACCTCAACATGCAAAACAAACGTGGTAGGTTTGAAACGGAACACAGCGAAGGACACCGTCCTTTCATTTAAATGCATGTATTATACATAAGTTTATATATAAAAAAGAAGGACCACAAAAGCACTAATGTGTATTTTTTATCCTTATTAGTCATGAGGAGAAAGAAAGATAAAAAAACTCTTTAAGCACCTGGACCTCGCTCTCAGCATTCCATTAATTACCCAGACAATGGCAACAAGTTCAGAGGCAGATTTTTCAATTTCAGAAAGAAAAAGAGGCAGACAGACAGAGAGAGAGAGAGAGAGGAGAGAAGAGAGGGGGAACAAGACAGATGGAGGGAGATGGAGAGAGAGAGAGAAATGCATGTATTCAGGCTCTTCATGCTATACCAGCACTTAAATCCGACGGACCTCCCATAAAAAAGACTCAAGGTTACGTCCGATTGAAAATCCTCACAAACAACCACTTCAGAAATCCATTTAGAGCCAGTGCTGGAACATCTCATTCAAACATATTGTCCTGTTAAAATGGTCGCGTAGCTCCTCTAAAACTCTTTCTTCGCCGCTGCCGTTTGCCGGGCCTCTTTGTAAAAGCGATTAAATTTCCACATTCTGAAGCACAAAGACATAATTACACAGGATCAGAAATGCAGCCCAAACAGAAGGTCAGACATGAAAAATGACCTCTTATTGTCACAAATGATAGGCCGTTTTGCCAAGAGTAATTTGTAATACCTCGGCTCGCAGTTCGTTGGAACGGCCAATGGAACACGGCCCAGATATAAAAAAAAAATAATGTTTTGTGAGTAATGAGAGTTCAATGGAGTGTATAGAGACTAAAAAGCTCAAATGATGAAAAATAGGAAGCTCACTTATTTCTTTATTAGTTTTAATTCTGTTACAATTTACTCACCCTCATGTCAGTCTACATGTAAACCCGTTTGACTTGCTTTCTTCTGTGGAACACAAAAGGAGATGTTTTGAAGAATGTCACCGATGCTCTATTTCAGTTAAGAAAAATATGGTTTTGAAACACATAAGAAACGTCAAACCTGGCATCAAGTTTTAATTTGCACCAGGGTTATTATTAAGTCAAGTATTAAAACATTTTCATCCCGAGTTCGAATCCCAACTCGAGAACCTTTCCCGATGCCATCCCCCTTTCTCTCTCCCACTTCGCTTGCTGTCAGCTCTGATCTGTCCTATCATAATGTATAGGCAAAAACACCTCAAATAAATCTTAAAAAAACAAAACATTTTCATGAATTGAAATAAAGCTGAAATAAAACAAAATATAATATTAGATAAAATAAACGTAAGCTAAACAATAATTAGAAATGTTGGCAACACTAAAACACTAAAATGATAAATAAATGACTACAAATTATAAATAAAATAAATTAACACGAATCGGTTAAATAAACACAACAACATTGCTAAAAATTAAACGAATTGAAATGAAAAAATTTAAATAAAAGCTAATTCAAAATATTAATAAAAACATATATAAAGTAATTATATACTAAATAATGCTAAAATTATGGTGAACGACAGTAAACAAATTAAGTTTTGGTCTATTTCCTGTCGTGATTTCATATGGATTTAAAATATTGTGCATGAGACATATGGGCCACTTTCATAGCACTTTTTTTGTCATTTTTTTGAGTTTGTCTTTATTTACTTTTGTCATTTATTTATTTGTCATTTTATAAGATTTACATCCCCTGCTGTATTTTATTGTATGAAAAAGAGCAGCGTGAACATTCTGCTAAACATCTGCTTTTGTGTTTTACGCAAAA